CTTGTACATTTTGAATGAAATCTGAAACGGAATGACCGAACACCCGCTGACTCCAGTATACCTAGTGTAAAAATTAGTGTGTTACCAGGTTGAACACATACATGTAGATGAACTCATAAATATGGCGATTAAGAATTTACCATTTTGTTCCCATGTTGTATAACATTATAGAAGTATCGAGGACATAATTTAATCTGATTTTATAATTTTCAGATTTGTTTAGATCTATTTATTCCGATACAGTCTTTTAAATACTATAGTTTTTAGTACGACAACAACATACATATACAGTGTATGCAAATAAAGCCAGCTAGTGGGTGCTTTCTGTCGAAAATCTACTATTGGTTACTCAATTTAACTATTCCAGTATTGAAATCCCTAAAAAACTATGACACTTTAATATTCCAACTGGATATTTTGTTGTACATGTGTATTTTCCACATTTAATTAAGTGTATTTCCTCAACAGAGCAAGATCAGGTTAATTTTGGTTAATTCAATGCAAAAGATTTGTTTAGAAAATTTAGCATAGAGTTTCAGCTCACATTTACTAGTACTAGTTTTTCTTTCCACATCCTCTAGTGAACTAGCCTGGAACCCCGTTGTATCGATCTATTTACCTATAAATCACAACTGCAGTTAAAATCAAAGCACTGAATGTACTGATGGGGAGGCTATGAGAGAATGTTTCAGACTTATAGTGTCTTTTCTTTTTGCTTAAAATATGCTACCAAAATAAAAAGATATGCACATTGTGCTATTTATCCTTACTGTTGTGTTCAACCATTCATATATATGGTTAATGTGGTTGACTATTCATTTTGTTAATATTCCAGAACATTTCATTGAGGTCTACATTCGGACTGTTAATCATACAAATTTTGAAAAACCTTAACTGTCAATAATAAATGACATACCAGCAAGTATGACGACTGTTCATTATCAGATAACAATAACATTTTACAACTGACGGTTCCTTATCAAAATCACAGGAACTTGAAATTCTATCAAATAACCAATATTAATTATAATATCCAAATATACAATATACTATAAAAAAACACAAACACAGGAACTTGAAATTCTATCAAATAACCAATATTAATTATAATATCCAAATATACCCCCTATATACTATAAAAATTTTTTATAGTATATAGGGGGTATATTTGGATATTATAATTAATATTGATTATTTGATAGAATTTCAAGTTCCTGTGTCAAAATATTCTAGGACTGTTCATCATAAATACTTTATGTCATTTTAATATTATTGAATGATAATAACAACTGCAAGTGATGCAACATTTTTATTGAACATAAAAAATTATACACGTTTAGATGTACCATAATTTAGATCAATAAGATACTGTCTTGTGATGAATATTAATATTCATGCTCTACGGACAGAAGGTTGTCTTCTCCAGAAGCAAATCTCGAATAAAATCACGTTTCAGAAAATTATTCCATTTCATTACTGACGGCGTCGGATAATATTAAAGCTAAATATATCTTGAAAAAATACATATCTGCAAAGCTTATTCAAAACTGAATCAACCTAAGTGAAAATTGATCAGGAAGTTATATCTTCTTTTTTTACCGCCAACCTGGGATGTGCTATAACGTATGTTCCAGCGCCCCAACACTCAACCAACTAAATAAATGGTAGTTAATCGATAGCTTGTGTATTTTTAAACCTCACTAGCTTGAAATATATACTGCGGAAAATCTGTTGTTAACAGGGTGTGCGGTTATTACGTAGGGTTTTCCCTGTCGACCATTTCCTGCAAATAGATGAGAACACCGAAGCCGTCAGTGCTATGAATGATGTTATAAATGACGTGTTTTGGAAGTTTTTGTTGAAACTTCTCCAATTTCCTCCAGAGGCGTGCACGTCGCGGAGAAGGCACACGGAAGGACATAGTCAAGTCATCATAAGTACCAGAGGTGATTGGTTGACCTGTCGTGACTTACTCTGGAGGTTTGGCGCTAATAGATGCCGTTTTTGTTGTCGTCAGTCAGAAAGTTGATGCCTTGACGGTATTGTCGTCTCCTTTACCACCAAAGAACGAAGAATGGGCTTCCAGGAAGAATCTGCTTGAAAAAGACGTCCCAGATGCTATAATCTCGGACATATGGTTATTCCGGCGCCGAGTATAAATAAACTTAAAACACACTCACTTTTGTTGAAAACAAAACAAAAAAAACAACAACACATTTTCTGTAGTAATTTTTCAAGTGTTGTAAAATGAATAAGAAATTCCTCTTATGCCGCCGATTCTTTTTAGAACACACACATAAAAGTTCTTTTTTTTATTTTTCAAATAAACATTTATCACTTCAGCGCGCGCAAATATCGTTTTCAAATTAAAGTTTCGTAAGATATGTTAATGACTTCCCGATGCTCGACTGTAAGTAATTTGTATATGTATGCGTTTTTTTTTTTTTTTGTTTTTGTTTTTTTAATTAAAGCTTCTTATTCTTTAATATTTTTTATGTATCTCATAATCTGTATTGAAAATTTGAATTTTATTACACATGGACTATCAAATTATGATGTATGCCCTAGAATTGAATAAACTTTCTAATTACACAATACGGGGTCATACTGATCTTTGCGTCTTTCTCTGAAATAATTATTGCTTTGTTAAAACATATTTGACCACATATTTCTGTCAATTAACTGTTCACTTTACTTCCGATTTTTGTTGTACGGAAACACATGTTTCTATTTGTGTTTTCTAATCAATTCGAATCTATAATCAGTTTAATGGGATCACCACCGGGTAAACGACTACTAGGTACTTTGGTCATGTTTTATACCCCAAATATTTGAATGTTTCTATTGGGATTAAAATGAGCATAGTTAAGTAAACAACTGGTTGTATAAATCCCAGACCTGTCTAATTCTAATTATGAGATCAGTGAATATATAAGACTTTCACTACAAAATATTCCTAAACAAAAGAGCACATGTTTAAATTTATTCCTATACAAATAAAAGATCAGAGTAGGGATCTGTCAATTGCCAAATATACTTTTATGTTAAAAGTTTGATCAATGAATTATGTAAGATGAAAATATAAGTATTGCTTTTTTATTTTGCTAATGTAAAATGTAATATTGTGCTGGAATTTTGTCGGAAGGTCCTTATAGGGGTTTTGTAGTTAAATAGTTTTTTTTCGGCGATAATGGTTCAAGAATATAATGTTTCAAACTATATGCTCATCACCATCAGTGAATTTTTAGTTAAATGTATGCAAAATATTTACTAACAGCTATGATATAGCGGTTTATGACCGTTTTCCGCGTACAGCCTCCTGGGGTGTACTAATAAGTTAGTTTTCCTTAGTTATCACGCAAGCATGATCCATGTCTCTGATGTAAGCGACAGTTTACAATTATTTGTCTTTAAAAAATATTAAGGACTTTTAATGGTTTATAACAACAAAGAACATGCATGATATTGAGAATACGGCATTGTATATACACCGGTCTCAAATATCGTCAGTAAGACCGGTGTACACAATGGAGAATACGGTGTTGGAACGTTCTAGTTAATGACCCGTCATAAAACAGTTGGTCGCTGCGTAGTAATTGGAAAATTGTTATCAAGAATAATAAAGAATATTTGCCACTAAATTAAAGCATTTACTTACAAATTTTCATTTATGCTTTTTGTTAAAAAAATATTGATAAAGTTATTATTTTGAAGGGTTTTCATACCAGAACTATTTATTACAGACGTACGTAAACCTGATTACCGCGGCAGTATGACGTCACGGAGTAGTGATTTAAACAAAAATCAAGAATTTTTCAGAGAATTATTATCTTTACAAATTGCAGATATGAAATTAAAGAATGAAAATATTTTCATATTGTAAATGTCTGTGATGAGTGATGAGTCAGCTTAGAAAAGATCAAGGTACTATTTTTTGACCTGATTACCGCGGCAGTGACCTGATTACCGCGGCAGTAAGATTTGACGAACAGTTATTAACATTGGGTCGGCATAGCCTCCCCAAAAATTAAATATTCCTGAATCTTTATTTTGTATCATTTATTTTGATCCTTTTGTCATAATATTTACATGGCAAACATCACTGATATATACTTTTTAGATTTGGAATATACGGATATTTACGATCATGTCAAACAGTTTGAAGAATTAGGTCACGCCATAATATCGATGCATTGTGAGAATCGCTCAGTTAGTCAAAGTTTGGGAAGCCTGACTCATCTTTATGCTAGATTTTTCAGTCAATTAGAATCAAAGTTGTATGTTTTAAAATGTCAGCATAAATTTAGGAACTTTCAACAGACAGAAATGTGCTTTTAATAAGAGCACACTATTTATAAGTCTATTTATTATCTACAAAGTCTGACGGTACTGGAAACATATTTTTGGTCATTTTTTCGGCTCGAAACAAATGCGAAAGAATTTCGTGACACTGTTGTAAATGTTAGCAATTAGTAGCTAGTGCATTTTGCAAAAAATCGAAACATTTGTAAATAGATCGATACAATGAATAGCACGATACAATGGGGTTCCACTATATATATTATGCTCTCATCATGTCATCAAAGCAGTATTGTTAGTAGCAAATTTCAACAAAAAAAGTGATTTTTTAATTATTTTTTTTTTTGGTGTGTGTGGAGGGGGGGGGGGGGTTACATGGTGACTTTCAAGCTTTATTAATGGAGGAAGACCTCAGACCTGTCTATGCATTATTTCAGCCACTTGAAGTAGAACCATTGAATACGTTTCATAAGCTAGCTTGATAGCTTCCTCAATGAAAGAATCCAATGTCTCCTGGTGGGATTCGAACCTACTGGATATGGTTGGAAATTAACCCTAACATATCCAAAAAGAATGGTCTGATCGATTTTACAGCAAATCATTTTCTTTTCTCTTTAACAACAAAGGTTCCTATACAATACACAGTGTAGTTTATTCACATACATATACTGACAAATAAAAACAAAAATATTTCTTGTTCATATATTTTTTTTATTTTCATTTTATTTTTCTATTTTAGTTTGCTCATACAGTATGAAGACCAGATTTTTGCTGATATTCATCATAGAATTTAATGAGAGAGTCATTTATACGAGGTGTAACTGTATTCAGTGCTAGCTGGAAATGTGATTTCTTCACTAACTGACAGGTTATATCCTCTTGTAGAGCAAATAATGCTGCCTCATGGCACACTGAGGAAATCTGAAAAATATCAATAAAAATATTGTATCTAATTATCATACTTGTATGTTTGCCATTATCAATGATATAATTAAAATCTATATCACCTGCTGCATATATCTCACTGCATATCATTTACAGTATATCTCTTATTGTAGATCACTATTTCACACATTTATCTCACAATACTCTTTATATCACATATTGTTATGTATGCTACTCACTGAATATGACTTAATCTTTATCACTATATCATTTCCAGTATATCTCTTTATCAATTATCATTTTCTATAATTCATATATTATTCATTGTATATCACTCAATTTACATTGACATTTCATGTGAATTAAGAAAAATATTTTACTATACATGTATATCACACCTTATTAAATATAATCAATAACTTAAGTATTTGAATCAAGTGATTTTTCATTATTGGATGCAATCTTATCAGTTTTGCCTCATTGTCTTCTTCAACTAAGCAAGAGCCCTGTTTGAGCCGGGTGATGCTCCCCGAATAGGTTTTGGACACAGGAAAGTACACCTCTTGTAGTTTCAGAGTTATGTCCCTGGAAAAAGTTCAAAGTGCAATAATTCCAAAATTAGGAAAGGCAGAGTTACTGTTCTTTCCACTGCACTTCTAATCACTGTTATCTATCAACTTACAAAGTTTCTTGTTGACATCTCTTATGGTTTCCGAGTTATGTTCCGGACAAATTCAAAAAGTAAAAATAAACAAATGGCAATAACTCAAGACCAAGAATTAGGCAAGGCAGAGTTATGATTCTCATGCACTGCACATCTACCCATTGAGATACATCTACCTACAAAGTTTCATGTTGATATCTCTTATAGTTTTACAGCTATGTCCAGTACAAGATTTTTCTAAAAGGGGAGATAATTCAAAAATGAGGCTTAACAGAGTTATGTTTTTTTTGCACTGCACTTCTACTCAATGAGATCTATCTACCTACAATGTTTCATCTTGATATCTCTTATAATTTTAGAGTTATGTTCCGGACAAAGTTCAGTGTAAAAATTAACAAAGGGCAATAACTCCAAAATTAGGACAAAAAGAGTTATTGTTCTTAAGCACTGCACATCTACCCATTGAGATCTATTCACCTACAAAGTTTCATGTTGATATCTCTTATAGTTTTAGAGTTATGCCCCGGACAAGATTTTTCTATAAGGGGAGATAATTCAAAAATGAGGCTTAACAGAGTTATGGTTCTTTTGCACTGCACTTCTACTCAATGAGATCTATCTACCTACAATGTTTCATCTTAATATCTCTTATAGTTTTAGAGTTATGTTCTGGACAAAGTTCAAAGTGTTGAAATTAACAAAGGGCAATAACTCCAAAATTAGGAAAAAAAGAGTTATTGTTCTTATGTACTGCACATCTACCCATTGAGATCTATTCACCTACAAAGTTTCATGTTGATATCTCTTATAGTTTTAGAGTTATGCTTCGGACAAGATTTTTCTATAAGGGGAGATAATTCAAAAACCGGGCAAAATAGAGTTATGGTTCTTTGACACTGCACTCCCTCTCAATGCCCTCTACCACTATATGAAGTTTAAACAAATTATCTCCAAGGGTTTTCAAGTTATGCTCCGGACAAGAAAACCGACGGACAGACGGACAAGGCGCCGACTATATGCTCCCCCGAAATTTTTCGGGGGGCATAAAAAATACAATGTCTCAGACAATGAGCAAAAGGCTCTTAAAGTTTATAATCATACAAAACACGAGTTTGCAATACTAACCTCAGCGCCGGAATACCCAGCGGTACAGTCAGCAAGCCAGGTTGATGTACAGTCTGAATCAACAGGCATTTTACGCAGGTTGATGGTGAAAATCTCTGCCCTCGTCGACAGATCTGGCAGTGGGACATACAACACCCGGTCAAAACGTCCCGGCCTCAATAAAGCCTATTAATAGATGAGAAAATAAGCAATTATTGGTAAGAAATATGTGAAATGTACAAGAAAAAACCTTGAAAAGTCATTCTCCTTAATGTGTACCCTTCTGCTCTTTTTATTGTGCATACATGTGAACTCTCCAACATTTAGCGGGAGACTCCCACTTTCTGCAGCCATATTTTCAAAGATTTTTCTGAAAATAAGGGGTATTTTCACAAAAATAAAGAAATCTCCCTAGTTTTGATGTCAGAACTTACTTAATTGTTTATTTCAAATTCTAAAATCTCCCTCTTTTTGAAGAAAAATCTCCCACTTGATCATCGAAAAAAGTTCACATGTATGATTGTGATAAATCCTAACATACACATTCACAAATTACCTGACAGAGGTAAATTTATTATACTCATTTATCATTGAACTTTATGTTCCTATCTGCACCCCAAAAATCCTCTTTATTTAACCCTTGAATGGGTACCTTAATAGAACCGTCTACCTTCTGTAGGGTAACTGAAAAGATTTAAACATTATCTTTAAGGCTCCCACGTTTACAATTTTTTGTAAACGTTTACACGATTGCTAATAACCGAAACGATACCGTTTAAAGGGTGGTACCTCTATGTACTATACACACCATGTATTTTAGTAGCCAAATGATGTCTTTCTTTCTATTTTTTACACATGTACAAATAAAGAATTTCAGGGCTTATCACGATTGAGTCAGCACACACTTTCTGCATTGTAACCCCATTTTTTACCAAAAATGTATTCTGTCATGAGCAATTTTGCACCATAATGCTGTGTGGAGGGTTGTAAACACATATTTTCCGTTTGTTTACTTTGGAATAAACAACTAGAATTGATAAAATCCATGATTACAGGCAATGATTAAGAAATTTTGTAAGACAATATGGTCATTTTGATTAAACGGTAAACAATATCGTAAACGTTTATGAATGAAAATCGAAACGAATCCGTTTAAACGTGTAATCGTGGGGGCCTTAATTATCTTATTCAATGTCCATGGTGGGATTTGATAAAATTCAGTGACCTTTACCAGTCAGCCTCAAAAGACCTTCGAGCTTAAACCTAAAATGCCTTCTGAGTATTATTCAGTCCCAACTTCTCTACTTTTGTAACTTCCTCACGTTCAACATTCCCAACTGAATACAGAATTAAAACCCATGAGACACAAATATGATGAAATTGAATCATTTGCAACTATGACCACACGATCCTAGTGAGCTGTACCCGAAATCCCTCCCACCCCTAGCTGTAAAGGTTATTTATCTACAAGCTAAAGTAATCAAATTTATACCTTATCAATCATATCTGGTCTGTTTGTAGCAGCTACGATCGTGACATCCTTCAACGCTTCCACACCATCTATCTCTGTCAATAGCTGCGCCAATACTCGATCTGCTACATTACTGCTCCCTGATGAACTGTATACAAATATAGCCATGTTTAGTAAATACAACACCTTTATAAGCCTAATACAGAAATTGATCGAACTGTTCACATAACAGCTCACCTAAAGTTAAGAGTTTAAATATTTCATGGCAATATTGAATACTGTATCTACTTTCTGACAAACTGATTATAAAACACTGGAAACTGTAGTGAATGTTTTAACATTCTGTCATTTAGCAATCAAAAGAATAGTAACTAGATACTACATTGATGCTGTCACCACTACATGTCTGTAATATAAATGAACATGTATTTCAAAATCTTCCTGCTATCACATTTGTATCATTTACCAAACTAAAAATTCTATACAGACAGAGCCAAACATAAGGTGACTATTTAACCTATTTTCAATTTACAATGTGCAGTATGACATCATGACAGTATGACATACATGTAAGTCTTCATTATTTGGCCATACTATATATTTTGCTGTATTGAAATCCCTAAAATCAATAATGGACAGTAGGACAAAGTCCATTAGTGCAAGACATTCATATCACAAATTTTAGATTAAAAACAAACTTTAAATCTTTAGGTATTACCTCCCTCTTTCTATAGCTAGAGCATCTATCTCATCGAAGAATATGATGGCCGGGGACGCTGCTCGCGCCTTTCTAAACACTTCTCTCACAGCCCTCTCTGACTCTCCCACCCATTTACTGAACAATTCAGGACCCTGAAGCAGAAAATGTATTTAGTTAATATATAGATAAATTTAAAATGTAAATATTTTCTGTTTCCAGTTTTAGTTAAAACATGATTCTCGTCAGATAACTGGCAGCTTATTTGATACCCCTCTCAAGTTCTCTTCCTGGAGGTATAAACCCAGTACTTATGGCAACCTGAATAGAGCTCAAACCTTCAATCCGTGTGTTGAAAGGCATAAACTGTCCTGACCAAACCATTCATTTGTATACAAGACTCTGAACTAACCTAACATCCTTCTTTACCAGGAAAATAGAAACAAAATTTCTTTCTATGGAAAATCAAAATTCTGAAATATTTATGATTAAATTATTCATTAAAACTAAGAAAGATAGTCAGATACTACATACAAATTGTCTTTTACCACAGTATATGTTGATAAATGTGAATGCAACAAAATAAATCATAGATTACTTGTTTAAGCAAAAACAAAATCAAAACATTTAATGATTAAAAGAACAATACATTTTACACATTACCTTTACAGCTAGAAAATTGAGCCCACTTTCTGTTGCCAATGCCTTGGCTATCATCGTTTTAGAACATCCAGGTGGTCCATACATCAGGATCCCTCTAGGTGGGGATATACCCATCCTTGTAAAGGCCTCGGGGTGTTTTAATGGCCACTCTACAGCTTGTTTCAATTTCAGCTTAATATGATCCTGTCCACCTATATCACTCCATAAAACCTGAAAAATAACAAGAGTTGTTAGTAGGACAGTATGCTCGACTATTCTCAATGTTTGATAGTAAAACAAGAGCCTAAATAATATAGAATTTTCTAAGTTCAAAAAGGGATGTAATTATGGCAAAATTCATGTTAGGGTTATGGGCCTTGGAGTGTGACCACCTATTATGCTCTCAAATAAGGGCGTTAAGTTTCAACCCAGCAGTTGTCTCCGACATATCAACTTGCATGCAAAAAAAACTTAACCAAAGTGTTACGCTGACAATGATACCTAGATGTGTATAATAGCTTTCCCTAATCCTGTGGAGTGAGGATAAATTGTGAAATATATAAATATTTTAAATTTTCTGCCCCAATAGGGAATATAGAGATTAGGCCAATCAAGACTTTAAATATCTTTCAGTTCTGTGGGAATTCCTGTCTATTGAAAGCCCAAAATGGAAGTTTTTTCAAGTCATCCAGAGTTGTAGGAAGTTTTGTTTGTTTGTTTGTTTCATTTTACGCCTTTTCCCAACAGTATTTCAGTCATATAGGCGGGTAGTTTCCTAACCATCGTTCCTGGAGAGTAACACCAGTACTAGACTACCTTCCTCTGCGCTAAACTACCAAAGCATCTCCCGACGATCGAACCCACGCCACAGAGGTAACTGGATTAGAAGTCATCGTCTCTAACCACTGGACCACAGAGGCGGTCGAGTTGTAGGAAGACCTCCTTTTCACCTATATTCATTATTGCTTACCTTAGGGACCTCCAACTGGACTTCTCTCATTGCACTGGGTTGTACCATAGTCATTGCATAGTTAAAATCAGCCAATGTTAAACAGACCATGTCACTATGATATCCAACTCGCTTCATACAATGTAGACTCGCTGTAAGACAAGAAAATAAAATAAAATAAACTTAAGATAAAAATAACATAAAACATGACCAGCCTTTGAATTCCCTGCTAAAATATGTTTAAGCTATGAAGTAAGTAAGTTCATATACTATAAACATAAAACATGGCCAATCAATACAAATCAGTACCATCTAGCCGGATTTCCTTACCGTTTAATTTCTTGCTAAAATTTAGCATTTTGATATTAAAACTTTAACACAGAATATAGCTCCAAATGTCATCGGAGCAAATATAAAACCCATATTTAGCATGTATTTCCAACAAAACAGAGCTATATTAGTCATACCTTCTTTGCAAAGAGCAGCTAAATCCGCACCAACATAGCCGTGAGCTGCATCAGCAACTTCCTGTATCTCTTGTACAGTCAGGTCATGGTTCAATCTCCTCAACATACAGTCTAAAATCTGAATTATAAATATAGCATGATATGAGTTACTCATAATAATATATTATAATATCATAGGTAGAGAGTTATATTTAAAATGGTCACATATAGAGGATATTGAAGGTGTGTAGGTTCAATACTGAATTTATAGGACAAGTTATATAAATTTATAGCATGAGATACTTGTATGTTCAATACTGAATTTATGGAAAAAGTTGAATAAATTTATAATATGCAAGCCTCTGGTGAGCATTACATGCTTTTATTCAGTGAGCTCAATAAATTTCGCAATGAAGCTACATGAATATAATATTCTTCTTTTTCACATACATAAAATAAAAACAGTGTTTACAGTAGGAAAACTCATTTTTTCATTAAATTTGACATCATTTCAATTTACATTTACAGTTGAACAATACCATTTTTACAGAGACACAAGTGAGGCAATGTTTGTAAGATAAACCTAAAATATCATCCGATATGCACAGTGCTGTATGCCCTTTTTTCTTCACTGTTCACAATTGATATATTGTCTACTCACTGGTCATTTTAATGATAATTTTTTTTCTTCACTTTTTTGTGAATACCACATATTTAGATAATTTTTTTCATAATTGATAAATTGTTTACTCCCTGAAAAACGAACTTTAAGAAAAGTAAAAATATTCACAATCCAAGATTTGATTTACATGTTATATGCATTGAATAACTGATTTTGCAGTATTTTCACCATATTTCTACTGTGTGACTAATGCAGTAAGGGCTATCTTTCAGAATTTTGACCTTTCTTTTGTAATTTACTTGCAATTAGTAAATGACTTTCTTTTTTCAGTTGACAATAATTGATCTTTTTAATACATTTCAGAAATTTCCATGAAAATTAGCATAAATCTGGAAGAGCTGCTTTAACCCATTACTTTGTACAGACAAGATTAGATAAGCCAATTGCTACCATGAAATAAGAGATTATTGGGTTTTTTTCCCCAGCAGAACCACTACTGTATAAAATCAAAGTATTAAATTCTACATTAATACTAGTAGTAACCAATCGAAGCCTAGAATATATAAGCCTGCCTCTGTGTACTGATAAGCCTTCTGGCTAGCCCTGCATGTATGTTTATATTTCAGTGATTGTAGAGTCTTTGATTGTGAGCATATCTTTATGAGTACAATGAAGCTAAATTAAACCAACCTGTTTTGGGTCTGTTTGATTGTTTGTTAGATTTTACTTCACACCTACACAGTATAGGTCATATGGCTCCATTCCAGCTTTACTGGTGGAGGAAGACCACAGGTGCTTTTCAATGCATTATTTCAGTCACTAATGGGCACCCAAGAAGAACCACCCACGTTCCTTTAGCTAGCCAGATAGCTTCCACACATAAAAGAATCACAAGTCCCTGTCCGGATTCGAACCCACAGCGTTGAGGGGCGAGCAGTTTTAAGTCAACGACCTTAACCACTAGACCACGGCCGCCCCGTTTTGGGTCTGTTATATATACAACACTGACAACATTATAATACTAGTGCAAAGGAATTTCTATTTTGGCACTTACCTCTCTTCTGTCAAACACAGATGGTACCCCAATCTCTATCTCTCTATCAAATCGTCCAGGTCGTCTCAAAGCTGGGTCAATAACATCTGGTTTACTTGTAGTTCCCAGAACCATCACAAACTTCCCACTCTCAACCTTTGATGAAAAACAAGAGCATAGCATGTGGTGTAAACACTAATCTTTTCAGGACAACCCTTTTTTACAAAATATTAAGTTAAGAAGGGGCATAACCCCACAAATACATCTTTCAGAATTATGCCCCTTGACTTACAACAGTTACTGTACTTTGTCACGATAAGCAGGTATTCCATAACGACTCAGCTATCATAATCTATCATAATAACTAATATTTCTTTGAAACAGATGACCAACAAATAAAATTTATTCAGTGATAAAAACTTCATTGAGGTTCATCACTAAAAATTTAAACTAAAATTATGATAAAAAATTTGTAAAAATATATCATACATTATTTATACCGTCCATCAGTGTAAGAAGGGAGGTAACCACTCTTTTCTCGACCTCGCTGTGGCTGCCATCTCTACGTGGACATAAAGTCTCTATATCATCTATAACAATGATACTCGGAGCTCTGTCAAACAAAATAACTAACATTTACAAGGTGTAGCCTGAATTGTTTTTTTTTGCAAGAACTTACTTATTAATGATTTAATTAAATTCATTTTAATATAATGTACTATATATATTGGAGTTTTCTTGCTATAGCCAAATTATAACAAGTAAATAATTGCCCATCGAACAAATTTTGCCAAATTCATTAGGGGTGGTCATACTTAAACAGCTTTGCCTTTGAGATAAAATAATACAAAGTTTTATTTGCTGTCATACATATGTGTGAACATTATTTGCTGTCATACATATGTGTGAACATTGCAAATTCAGAATAAAACAAGACTCACATAATATTCCTATAATTATTACAAGACTTATATAATACTCACAGTCGTCTGGCATCTTCAAAGATTTTTCTTAATTTGGTTTCTGTCTCGCCATAAAATCTGTAATATAAAGTACAAATGATATCCTGGCTTCTAAAGAACAACCATTAATATTTCACAATATTTTCTTCTACAAAATACATTGTATGCCTAACATAATAAACTTTCAAAATCAGGGAAAAGGATGATTCCTTGAAAGCATTTATCACAGAAAAATTACATAAAAATGAAGTTTGATTGAGTCTGTATAAGTCATAAGGTTTAATGATAAAGTGCAACATCCATCACGTCCCCTAGCAACGGCTTGAGCAGTACTCAATTTTCAACACTAAGTGTTGGTATCAATGATCCCAAAGGACCAGAAAGATAACATCACTCAAGCCTCAATGATATTAAATTATTTTTGTTCATGTAAACATGTGACTTTCCAGCATTGCAGATAGGAATGGAACAAAGAAAAATTATTTTAGATTGAGAACACAAGTAAAATGTGCACTCGTATAGATGATTTGAACATAAAGCTGTTGCCTCAGATAGAAATGAAAACCCTGTATTAGGGGCCTTACTTGCTCCATATCTCTGAAGCTGCCACTGTCTGTACGTTGATGTTGATTTCTGAGATGACTGCTTTCACAAGCATCGACTTTCCACAGCCACTTGGTCCAAACAATAGCACACCGCTTGGAGGTGGAAGACCTAGTTCATGTATATACAAATACAGCATGTTTTTAACATTGACATACATTTATAATTTACTGAAGTAACCCGAGTACATTGTACTGGTTTTTAATAAGGTTGGAGTCACAGCAGAGCTTAAACCAAATAAACATGGTTCAATGTAAAACACTAAGGAATTATTTTGAATATGATTAAGTGCCATATTAACTTACAACATTTTTTTAGGGGGGTTGGGTTTTAATGTCGCACTAACACAGCACTCTTTAGCTTTACTCAGGTGGAGAGACCTCAGGTGCCCTCCCGTGCTTTATTTCAGGCACAACACCCAAATAGAACCACTTGCATTCCGTAAGCAAGCTTAGGATACCTTCCTGGCATGAAAGAATCCAAAGACCCTGTCGGGATTGGAACCCACAGCCATGAGGGGCAAGTCGTTTAAATTTTGAAGTCAACAACCAAACCACTTACAACATTTAAACTTACCAAAAGATCTGAACATATTTCAACTTACCAACAGTTTTGAATGTATTCAAACTTACCAAAAGATCTGAAAAGTTCAGGCTGCTCTACTGGCGTATGAACCATTTCTTTTAGCATATCAATCTGTTTTTCCATACCACCAATATCAGCATACCTGACAGCATCCTTTCCTGCACTTGTATCCCTATCCTCTATATTACTATCAACACTTTGTATAACAAACTTAGTCCTTGATGTTACTTTATAAAAATTCTGCGAAATATTTTTCTCTATAAATTTTTCAACCTTAGGCGTACAAAAATTTTCATGTGCACTAAATGACCTGTCACTGACGGGTGTTCGGGGTGAAAATAAATTGTCAGTTGATCCATCTGTTCCTTTTATAGGAGTTGTCAATTTATCTATTGATGTGTTGAGTCCAGATCCTATAATTGAACTGCCTTCACTGCCTTTTGACTGATCTAAAGTTTTTCTGTTAGAACAAGGTGTTGATGTAACATCTACGCCACTGTGAGAATCACTTTTTCCAAAATTAGAGTCCATTGAAGTTCCGTCTGACCCAGAGACAAATGAATCATTATTAGTTATACTGAGATTGGCTATACTTTCTGACAAGTTTCCACCATCAATATCGTCTCTAGTTCCCTGAAGTTGGAATGTTTCTGATGGCAATGTCTGACCACTAATGTTTGTCACTTCAAAGTTAAACTTTTGTCCATAGTATTGAATCACCATTTTGCAACCCTTGCAAATGTATTTGTTTTCTGAAAAAAAAAGAAAGAAGAAAAATGAAAAATTTGAATAATTGCACTGGATGTTAACACTATATGGCTGAAAAGGGCATTGACTATCAATAACCAATTTTAACAAAAATTCTAAGGTAAAAGGGGACATAACTCTTAAAAAAATATTAGCTTTCAAAATAATGTCCCTTGTTTAACTGCGCCATGTCATGATAAGCAAGTATGCCAAGTTATGTGTTGATAAATTCTAAAATGTTTGAATAATGGGCTACATGTAAGATTTTTGCACGCCAACAACACAGTGATAATATTATAGCTTGACTTTTTCTTCAAAACAAATTAGCTAAAAATGATAAAGACTTGATGAAAAGTGGGCTGGATAAAGTCATTGGCCAATGATAATTATGAATTCATTGGCCAATGATAATTATGAATTATTGTCAATATCTAATCAGTAAAGATTTATATTCTAGAAAGTTTTAAACAAAACTATTAAAGAAAATTTGGTTTGTAAATTGATGAATTATAAAATCGTTTTTTCGCTAAAATATTTCAGTTTTATATTCTAAACCATTTAATACTCTATTGATTGTACTTCTAGTCATAATATTAAAACTATTGTTTGTATTTTGCTGTATAAACCACATTTGATCACATGTCATCACATATTGTACTGCAGATAGACATTCACTCATCTACTGATCTAGGAATAAATATGGATATGAGAAAACCGACTGTCTTCTTCTGTGTTTTGTACCCTTATATGTAAATGTCATACTATGTAGGTTGACTTTCGCCGTGTGGCAGCAAAGTTTATAACTGTTTATTGTTGTACTGCATACTAATACATCAGTCTGTCACTATGTCAGTTTAATTTTACACCTTTATCAGCCTGCTGATGTCTAAGAAACCTGTTTGCATAAGAACTTTGGTGCCTAAAGCAATGGCAATCTTTGAAAATGTTACTAAGCATCGCAAGAAACTAGACCAGAAATAGGAGGTTCTGATGGAGCACATTACTAAAAGAATCAAAATTTAGATAAAGTTGTAGACCTTTTAACTTTAAAATCAGTGAAATCTACAGCTATCAATACAGATTTTGACTGCGTCTGTGTCTGCGGAGTTTTTACATTATTTAATGTCTGTAAATACCAGTGAAAGTTTGTTTGAAATTACAACACTAAATGGGGTCCTTGAGCAATGAAGAACTACTGTAAGAGAATTCTTGAACTGACTGAAAAAATGACGTTGGTGCACCTTCAACAGTATCAAAGAAAACCAGTAAGTCTAGTACCAGCAGAGCTATACAAGCCAGTAAGGTGGATTATGCAGAAACAAGAGGGTCATGATGGCCCTGAAATTGCTCAACTGTATACAGACCAAGGCAAATTTTAAACCAGGGGCTTTTATTTGAACAAACTAGGTAGACACCCATTAGAAGACGTTTCATGAAAAATATCTATGCTTTAGCTCTTTGGGGTTTTTATGAAAAGATTTTTTAAGTTTATAATATATACATATAGGGAAAAAAAATGACCCCCCCCCAGAGAAGCCAATTTGGACCCCAGGGCTTTTATTTTAACAAACTTGGTAGACACTCACTAGAAGATATTTCTTGCTTAGTATCTAAACTCTAGCTCTATGAAGTTTTTTATAAGAAGATTTTTTTAAGTTTTTACTACACACATACAAGGGAAATCAATGACCTAACGGCGGGGCCAATTTTAACCAAAGGACCCTTATGTGAACAAACTTGGTAGACACCCATTAGAAGTGAAAAGATTTGATATTTTTTCGATATTTTTAAGAATATTTTACCATGACAATGTCTGCTTCGATGATACTTTAAAATACTTTGTGATAAATTGCAAAGTCAATTTATGAGAAAGAATTGTTTCTCGTGTTCATGGCAACCAGTCAAAGCTATCCTCGATTAGCTTGACAACTGAACAATCAGATAAAAAAAAATAATTACAAAGAATGCAACAGAAAATGTTTTGCCATTACCTGGCTGTCTGCCAATATACTCATAAAATCTATAACTTTGAAGCAACCAAGTAAATTGGAATTGGCCAACATGATAACAGCCCTGCCAAATAAGCAAAAAGCTATAGAGGCTTTACTGGGCCAGGACTCAGCCAAAAGTCCAAATGAAAGGGCTAGACTAGAGATCTTGAAAAGGAACAGGATAAACTCCAGTTTCACATGCATGGATAAGCAAGAATGCCCATGAATTGCCAGCTGCCAAAAAGCCACAATTGGAAGGAAAACCAACAGGGACCCCCAAGGACACCCTTGGATTCTGACCCTTCAATCTAGGGGATTCGCTGTGACTATGAGGCAAAATCACATATGTAATATTAAGCTATTGCTCTGTTGGACAAATTCGATATGACGGTCAAATTGGAGTCTGGGGATGAAAGGAAGTTGCTGGCAAGTCCAAAGAAGGCCAGCCCTACTGTCAAGCCAGTAAGCCCTGTTAAGCCAGTTCTCCAAAGAAGTCTTGGGCTGAAGTGAAGGAGTTAGAGGACCCTCTAACCCTGCAGCAGTCCAATCATAATCAGAGATTGTGGCCACTAAGCACAGTTGACGGCTCCGAGATCATACGCCAATAATGTTGTGACTACAGGGCCTTATGGTAGCCACAAGCCAAATGTGGTAGAGCGTCTCCTGAAGATATTTCAGGATAACCATTATCACGGTTCTGACAAAGGAAATGGTCGGAACAGGAGTCCTAAAGGTAGGAGGCATGAGAATGGCCAAAGCATTTGGAGGAGAATTAGCTCTCCAAGGTGGTGCCCACCAGTGGTTAGAGGACATCTTGGTGCCAAGTGCCGGGGTGACATAGGGACTTAACCCAGAAGCATGATTTGGAGGTCCATCTCCCTGGCATATTTTGGTTGTGTGTTAGTGGAGAAAATGTTACAAAAAGGTGGATAGGAGCACCGAATCTGGTTGACTCAGATGGTTACTGGGGTTCAACAGCACTATGTTGAATCTCTAAGCCGTTGAATCTCTTAGCCTACTTGGAAAATGTTGGTGAGCCGGTTTTCCATGAAACCTGCAGACAATTTCAAGAGGACAGCCTAGGAGTTCTGTGAGGCTTTTAGGGTGCCCAAGCCCAAAGACCTTACAAGAAACAAGGAAATACTATGACAGTCCTGTTGCAGTGGCATTGTCTACTGGCCTTGGTTTTAATGCTGGAGAGACATCAGGAAGACAGTTTGAAATCCATGTCAGAATTGTCACCTGAAGAGAAGGTCTTCAACTCGCTGTAAATCTTTCATTAGCATTTGTGAGCCATTGTCATTTGGATAGGACAAGGAGAATTAGCTTTGTCTGATCCTTCGTTGGCAGCCATTTGTACTGTGAAGGCTCAGGATGAGGTATTTGAAGTCAATGTCACAGGAGCAGCAAGTCCATTTGCTGTGACCCTGACAAATATCCTTTGCACTGTTTTTCAAAGACATTAAGAGGGCCATGATGGCCCTGAGTCGTTCACCAGAAACAACTGCTTTTTAGTGTTGGAATGTCAATATGTTCTCATATTAAACTTGAGCATAGAATATGTTTAAACAATAATTTGAAGAAATGCCATGACCTGGGGCATTTAAGCTTTAGCTTAAACGGGGCTAATCAAATTAATATGAGCAAACTTGATAAAAGACTACCTAAGAATGCTACAAAGTTTGGTTTTGTTTGTGTAATTTTACGCCTTTTCCCAACAGTATTTCAGTCATGTAGGCGGGTAGTTTCCTAACCATCGTTCCTGGAGAGTTACACCAGTACTAGACTACCTCCTCCGCGCTTAACTACCAAAGCATCTCCCGGGGATCGAACCCACGCCAGAGAGGTAACTGGATTAGAAGTCATCGACTCTAACCACTCAACCACGGAGGCGGTCCACAAAGTTTGGTAATCATCTATCAATTATTTCAGTAGGAAATGATGTTCGAAAGTTTTTTTCTATTTTTAGCTTTAGTGGCGCTTAAAAGGGACCAATCAAATTAATATATTTAGCAAACATGATAAAAGAGTACCCAAGAATGCTACAGACAAAGTTTGGTGATTATCCATCAATTGGTTCTGAAGAAGGAGATGTTTAAAAGTTTTTTGGGGTTTTTTAACCCATCTTTTACTAAAAGGTTCTTGTTGCTTAAATACATAGAATAGGAAGCAGGTTGACAGTCATAAAAAGCAAAAAAAAACAAAAGCAGCACAATCTATCTCAAGGAATTCAAAGAAAAATAAAAAATAGATTTATGATGGAATGAAAAAGCTCAATGAGTATTATTATGTTGGTCAAATCTCAATAGTCTACCTAAGGAAAGGTTTGAAAAAATTTAGACATTGTAAGCTTACTCAGACACTAGGGTATCAGTCATCAGTTTGTTTAAAGCAGGGTGTTCACTAGCCATGAAATCCTGAGGGTCATTTTGAACAAGTTTTACAGACTACAGGGCCAAATCCCTATGATTTTAACAAAATTTGACCCTCCAGTTAATTAAATCCTGAGGGTCAAATCAGGCCTTTTGGAAATTTGAAGGGTCTAACGGACACCCTGTTAAAGTTTTCCATGCACCATCAACATTAAATTATTCAATTTAAACTTAACTCATAATTGGTGATTATTATCCAAGGCTCATAACTCTAGCATGGATTTTGCCAGAATTATAACCCTTTTTGAACAAGAAGTTCCTCAATCTTCAAAACTACTGAGGTATTCACTTAAAACTTAATATTCAGGATTAAAATTGATCACCATCCAAGGTCCATAACTTTACTCTAGCATGGATTATTGCAGAATCCAGATTTCAGGTTAAAGTTTTGGTTTAGTAAAATAAAATATTTTTCACTATAACTTTTTCATTTTCTTAAGGTATCAACTTCAAACTTCAAATATATGTTACTTTTCATCAACCTCATCTTATGTGGCAAGGTTCATAACTCTAGCACAATATTTTCAGATGTATCTCCCCTTGAACTTAGAATTTTCCTTAAAAAATACTAATTTTTACTGTTACTTATTTATTTCTTAAGGGATCA